GGGAGCTGGGCCTGTTCAGCCTGGAGAAGAGAAGGCTGAGAGGGGATCTGATCAGTGTCTATAAGTACCTCAACGGAGGGAGTGCAGAGGATGGTGCTGGTCTCTTTTCAGTGGTGGCCACTGATAGGACTAGGGGAAATGGCCGGAAACTGAAGCACCAAAAGTTCCACAGGAACTTAAGGAAAAATTTCTTGACAGTGAGGGTGACAGAGCACTGGAACAGGCTGCCCAGAGAGGTTGTGGAGTCTCCTTCTCTGGAGATCTTCAAAACCCGCTTGGATGCAGTCCTGTGCCACGTGCTCTAGGTGACCCTGCGTGTGCAGGGGGGTTGGACTAGATGATCTCTAGAGGTCCCTTCCAACCCTAAGCATTCTATGATTCTATGATTCTATGATATCTGAATCAGAGAGGGTAAGAGTAAGAAAGAATTATTTATTAATATGCTATTAAGTAAGGAATCATATCGGTCTCAGCAACATCATTTATGTGTTCATCTTTCTTTTCCTGATAAGTGCTGGTTTTGAAATTGGTATCTTTGTAATGCTTACTGGCACATTGCTGAAAGAATACTACAAAGGGACACAACTGCAACACCTATCTGTCACGACCAAAATGTAGTAGGGTATAAGTACTGCTTATACTACTGTTATAGTAGGGTAAGTACTGCTTATACTACTGTTCTTCAGTATTTGAATCAAAATCATGGTTTTAGGAAAAAAATGCTTTCACATTTCCTCCCACCTAGACAGAAAGATAGACAATATAACATAGACTACATCCATAGACTCTTCTGTCTGAAAAGGTCCTAATTTAGGAAAATATTAGCTCTTTCAAAAAATGTTTGGTTCAGACTTCATGAATTTCATTGCAACATAATATCTTTAACAAAATAAAAGAGCATTTTCTCTTCTTGGCTTGGTGAAAATTCATGCCACTCTGCTGAACAGAATAGAACTACACCAACTGAAAATGAATTGAAAAAATACCTCAAGTGACTTCCATGGCTGTAGAAGAGTGTTTTTATATTTGGGGAAAAGAAAAATGAAAGATTGCCCCAGGGGTCGGGCATGATCCACTCCTGTTGCTCCTGACTTCAGCCCATTGAATCTTTTCTTACACAGCAAAATAAAATTCATTTTCCTGATTGGAGAACTATCTCACTAGGAACGCGGACTGCTTCTTGGTCTGAAATCCAAGCTCTAAACTCATCAAGCCAATGTCAAATTCCAGTGAATTCATGTTTCCCATGTATAACTATAGTAACTCTATTCATATTCGGAAATATTTTATGGCATTTTTAACATAAAAAATAACAATTAACATCCAGCACCAGCATGTAATGTCATATCCCATATCCAGAATACTGGGAAGTGATATTATCTGCACCAGAAATAATTCTAATATTGCTCTTTATCTAATGTCATCACTAGCTGATGTAGCAAACACTCATTCTCCCAGAACCTCTAGCTCACATATACTAGCATGTCTTCTTAGGTCCAGACTTTGGCATTGACTGTCACTGACACTGAACCAATTTCATTAAAATAAAGGAATGAAAAAAAAAAATGTTTCCATTTTGATCTCATTAATTCTAAAACATATATAGAGAATGAGAAATTCTGTATTATTGTTATGTACATTTTTACAATATATTGTACTAACTACAGAGATGATAGGTATTTCAGGTGTTCAGAAAGGAGAAAGCTCAGTGGTTAATAGGTCAGTTGTAAAAATATAGATAATTTAACATATATCTTTTGTAAACTGCATATGAATTAAAAGCACCTGATAAGTGTTTAAATCTTCTAAGAAATACTGCTGCTTAGATATTTGAAGCTAACTTACAAACACTTTGTTAATATTAAAATTTGGTGTACCAAAAATGACAATATTACATAGGAAAACACCCCCTGAAATGAAGGTGAACTCTGAATCAACAATGAAGGACTTGGTAAATAACAACTAGAGGGAGTAGCTTGTTATTTTTTAAATTCATGCATAAAAGACTCACCACTTAATGGAAACTCAAACACAGTATCTAGATATTATTAAAAAAAAACTCAAGGGCAAATCCTCGTTTTAACTTACTCTTCTCCAAGGCACATCCTGTTGTTGTGTCTCAGGACAGAGATCTGAAACAAAAAAAGAAAAATAATATTTGATATTAGTAGTTATTATATCCATAATCAAATATCTTTTTTTCTTCATTCACAGGATTTTGTCTTCATTCACAGGATTTTGTCTTACACTAAAAATAGTTAGAAAAAAAATATTTATAAACATTGCGATACCTGATAAATAAGTGAAAAGAATAATTAGTAAATAAAAAAACTGAAAATATACATCTATAGATTTTTTCTCTCTTCATATATATCTAATATTATAATTAGGAAAAAAAATCTACATTACAGTTCTCAAAATTGAAAATTTAAATGATAAGTCATAAATGAATGTATAAAATAATACACAATTTAATACTTGTGCTTTCTGTACTTTTCCAAATGTATGCCTTTATAATTATTGAAAAAAAATTAAGCAATTGCTTTACAGATTATCATGACATTAAGCCAAATAAAAAAGAAAGGCTATACTAAGCTGCATGTAATATTTTCAATTAAATATTATAAACTGTGTCCATTTTCTGTTTTTTTTTGTTTGTTTGTTTGAAAAAAATAGGATTCTAAATAACAATAATAAAATGATAAGGGGGTAAATAATCCATACTAATGTCAGTGTTCCTACATCTGAATACTTGATATTGTTATAATGCAAGTATTTGGATGTATAATGTTCATATGCCACTCTAAAATTGTGTGACACAATAATAAAGTATGAAAGCTTTATCAAATTGATTTGAGAATTGGCACTGTATTCACAAGTGTTTAGACTGTACGTGTTATTTACATACATACTGGCATCTCAAGTGTGCATATCTCAAGATCTTCATCTGTTAGAGGCAGATATTCAAAAGTTTGAGAAAGCTTTGATTTTCTCCTCCTTTTTTTGCCTATTTATGCTGGTGAACACTTCGGTATGCACTCATAGTGAGAAACTGATATATACAATTCTCACCAGAGGCTTTTGGAAAGCATCTTAAAAAAAAAAAAAAAAAAAAAACCTAAGGGATTCCAGATATATTAAAAAATAACAGCAGATAATAAAAAGCTGAAATTCCCCCATGCCAGAGTCATTAAGTTTTTTGTTTGTTTGTTTGATTGTTTGTTTTTGTCCCTACAATGATTGAAAATGCTGGAACTATGTGTCCAAAGAAGATAAGAATGAATTCCACTTTCTGAACAGAGAAATAAATATTTTAAAAACAATTAGACTTTACAGATGATGAACACTTGAAATCAATCTGTGATTGAGAGTTTCCGGACAAGAGGATAGACAAGAGAAAACAGATTTAAATGTCAGATTTAAAGAGTCAAAAGTAGAATCAGGATCACACTGAAAATAATATAGGGACAATTTATCATATGACAACTATTTGGTTTATGGCTAAATATTTCCATCTTTTTTATATCAACAGTTATTGAAAATTTTAGTTTTTCTGCCACAATTGATATTCAGAATTGAAAGGAATCCAACCAATAGATAAAAATACACTTTTTTTTTCAATTTGTGTTCATGCTGTTACAGGTCTCTGAATTCATTTGTTCACCTCCACTTCTGTAACATTTTGATCCTTTTAAACTTTGTGAGTTTAAAGCTGTCATTAGCAGTGACCTTAAGGTAAGTTAGTTACTTTCCTCCTCCTTTAGTGATGCACAGCATGATCCAGGTACTTTAGAAACATTGTGCCGCTCTCCTTTAAGAACAGTGGCTGATCTTGTCACTCATCAGATTTGTTGAAATGTCTCAAGTTGGATTTGCTATCTATATGGAGGACATGGGAAGGAGCACACCATATTCTACAATAACTGTATAGCTGACTTCAGAGGGAGGGAATGTCTTTGAAGTGAAAGAAAAGGCAACCGAATTCTTTGGATTCAATAACCCCCTGCATTTCTTTTCAGTTGAAAATCTGCACAGATCAGTGAAAGCAGTCATGACTTTTTCAAAGTGTCTAATTTGCAGTAGTTTAACAAGACAGATTAGAGGAAAGTAAGAATTTCATTCACATGGCAAGTACTAACTTAGGGACACCTTTCTAAAGGCAGGACATCACACAACATAGCACGGATCACCTACTCCTGAATACAGAAAATCATCTGTCTCCTGGGACCACAGCACTCGAGGGATGGTATTTTGGCAGCTGGGAGACCAAAAGTGACTCCTGGTGAAAGAACTGCTCCTTTCTGCCTCTCTTGCCACCACAGCACCCTGAACAGCATATTTTGTACAGCATGCCTTACTGCTCACAGCCAGAGGCATCCAGCAATGTGACACCCAAGTAGTTTAGAAATTGACTCCAACTACAGTCCAACCTCTCCTTACTCCTGCCAGTTTTCTTTGACTTGAAGCTGAATTATGGTTCATTTTCCAGAAATAATGAGATAGGGTCAAGAAAAGAGACAGGAAAGAGCTATCCAATGATATCTCAACCAAGATCACAGCTATATTTCGAGTCTTAATTGATCATTTAAGAAAACTACTCCCTTTCCTGGTGGCAACTGAGTGACCTACATTATATTTAGATGATATGAATTAATTCTTTTCTATCTAACATACAACAGTATCAACCAAAAACAAGGTAACAGAAAGTAATATCTTTCAATGTTGAAATTATCCACAGAAATTAAAAAAAAAAAAAAATCACATGGAAATGGCAAAGTGACTTGATTCATTCACTGGAGTCAAAAAAAAGAATCATTGTCTTAAGGCAGCGTGGTTTTGAGCAAAGAAAAATAATACACATAAGTATAGACTCTAAGAGTGGGTAAATCCTAACTTAAAGTTTTCAGAACTTTTAAGGGAAGGGAAGGGAAGGGAAGGGAACGGAACAGAAGGGAAGGGAAGGGAAGGGAAGGGAAGGGAAGGGAAGGGAAGGGAAGGGAAGGGAAGGGAAGGGAAGGGAAGGAAAGGAAAGGAAAGGAAAGGAAAGGAAAGGAAAGGAAAGGAAAGGAAAGGAAAGGAAAGGAAAGGAAAGGAAAGGAAAGGAAAGGAAAGGAAAGGAAAGGAAAGGAAAGGAAAGGAAAGGAAAGGAAAGGAAAGGAAAGGAAAGGAAAGGAAAGGAAAGGAAAGGAAAGGAAAGGAAAGGAAAGGAAAGGAAAGGAAAGGAAAGGAAAGGAAAGGAAAGGAAAGGAAAGGGGAAAGGAAAGGAAAGGAAAGGAAAGGGGAAAGGAAAGGAAAGGAAAGGAAAGGGGAAAGGAAAGGAAAGGAAAGGAAAGGAAAGGAAAGGAAAGGAAAGGAAAGGAAAGGAAAGGAAAGGAAAGGAAAGGAAAGGAAAGGAAAGGAAAGGAAAGGAAAGGAAAGGAAAGGAAAGGAAAGGAAAGGAAAGGAAAGGAAAGGAAAGGAAAGGAAAGGAAAGGAAAGGAAAGGAAAGGAAAGGAAAGGGAAGGGAAGGAAAGGAAAGGAAAGGAAAGGAAAGGAAAGGAAAGGAAAGGAAAGGAAAGGAAAGGAAAGGAAAGGAAAGGAAAGGAAAGGAAAGGAAAGGAAAGGAAAGGCAGATGTTAGTGATCTCAGCAGATATCCTGAGATTTATTATGGAAGCTTCTTACTTGCTTCAGAGGACATAAGGCCTCTGAGTAAACATTAGCTTTATTTATGGGATGGTATTTCTTAATAAAGTTGCAGCTGGGGGCCTTTAAACCAGATCTGACAGTTATATACTTACTTCTGCCAACTGTGAGTGTCAGGCTGAAGTATGCAATATTTACTGTTTCAGGCAAACAGTAGTGAAATGGAATGGGGAAGATACTCTAAAACCTCTCTTGAAAATACAGTCAATTGCTATCAAAGGGCTTGAAGTATTTAACCTTTAACTTCCCAATATTTGCCTGGCATCGATTTATTAGGAATTACAAACTAAGAAAATGTGGTATTTCAGTTTTTTGATTGCTTTCAAGGATCTTCTTCTTTACAAAGGCCAAATGGCTAGGGAATACCTCATTCCTTGGAACAGCTTGTCAATTCCAGGCAAATATACACAATCAAAAAGCAGGATGGTTTGGAGTAGGCCAATAGACCAAAGAATTATTTTGGATTTCAAAATCTTTCTGCAAGCTGAGAATGAAGTAGCATTAACTAATATCATATGTACTTCAAAAACACCTAGGTAATGTAAATACATAGAATAGCATTTTACAAGACACTACTGCAATACCACAGGGAAAAAAGGGCATGTATGGGGAAGGAAGATACATGCAAAATGTTGTCTTTGGATACTATCTGAAAATTTTTGCTTGCATTATGGTTAATTTCATGTGTGTACACGTGACTTTTCTTTTGTCATAGTACATACGGGAATATAATTTTGTTCCTTAAACTCTCCTAGGTGGATACAGAATTAGAACTGAAATGATTATTTCCAGACACAATATTTTACTCTCCCAAATCCTCTTCATATATAATATATATTAACATGTAAGAATGTTCTGGAAATATTGACTCTCTCTTCCACTTTCTAGTCCTTTAAATAGATAAACTACAGGAAAGTCATGACAATATTATGGTTTACCATGGGATACTCCACAGGAAAATAACAATAAGACTCTAGCCAAAATCTAGTCAAGGTTGTATGTCTGTTTTGATGTGCAAAATAAACAAGATGACATAAGTTGTGTTCAGTAACTTCGTTTTTTTTCTATTCTTGAAATTCAATAAGGAAGAACCTTATTTTAAATCCTTGTTTTCTACCTGAGTAATACTTAATAATTGTGCCTGCTCAAATTCCAACCGTTTCAATTATTACCAGGCCTTTTAAAAGGCTATTAGCATTTTCACTTATTAGCTTCATTAGTAGAATTTTCCAGAAATTTATACTGTTTTGCTATTTCAGCATCAATTTGAACGCATAGACCTCAAAGCTAATGGTCCAGAGCTGAATAAGTCTACTGGGGCATGCAGATTAGGCACAAGTCACTGAGTTTGTTTATGTTTGCTACAGTTTGTGAAGATTTTTTTAACCATAAAGAGTCAGGAATTTTAAATAAAAGTGAGCATTTCAACTCGGAAAACACTATTTTTA